CCCACTTCCTTCCCCTTTGCCCCTTTTCTTCCTATTTCACATGACCTATTATACATTTAGTCCTTATTTACACTTTTCAGTTTCTCACACCAGAGAAACTAACTATTCGGTATTTATACATGTGTGTCCTATTAAATTTTAAAATAGGTATACATCTAAATTCCCACAGTGTAGAACTGAGACTCAGGTCTTCTGCCAGTGCCACTGCTTGTAGCTTCAGAATGAAGTCATTTATTTAATCTTTGAGTCTGTCTCAAAGTGACGCCAGCCTATTTCCCACACTACAGTGACAGCAAGTGGCAGGTAACAGAGCTGCCGCCCTGTACAAGGCCATGTAGGAGGAAGGTCTTGCGGGACTACAATTACCATCATTCCTAACGAATAATGCTAAGGGTAAACAGTCCTTGGTGGTAAGCAACCAGACAGCATTCTGGCCTGAGAGAGAAGCAAACGTGGAAGGCAGCAGTAGATAAGGCCTCAGGCCTGACCAGAATCTCCACATTCGCTGGCCCGGCCTGGATACAACAAACCGAATCCTGCGTCCTGAGTGGTGGCTTACTTCCTGAGAGGTACCTGATTTTATTAATCCAACTCTAATAAAAATATGATTGTACTTATTAAACTATCTTTGCTTTCCTTATATTAAAAGACTGGATATTCTTCTGAAAAAACTACCTAACGCATCTCACAAAAAATTAACCTTTTTTTTTTTTTTTTTAAAAAAAGTGCACAATGTAGGAGAATGGAGTATATATTTCCTTCTGAACACAGAATTACCTTAATGTGCTGTGTCTACTTCATTTTTTAAAATACACATTCAAAATATTAAAAGTCACTCATAATTAAAGAGAAAGCAGCCCGGTGTGGTGGCACATGCCTATAAGCCCAGCACTCTGGGAAGTGGAGGCAGGAGGACCACACGTTTGAGCCCAGTCTGGGCAACTTAGTATCCGTTATCAAAATAAAAAGTAACAATAACAAGAACAACAACAAAGATGAGGAGGCTAGGGATATAGCTCAGTACAGTACCAAATCCCTGGATTCAATCCCTAGCACCACAGTGTATGGAGAAAGATAGATGAAAAGAATGGAATGGAATAGACAGGACAGGACTGGACTGGAATAGAATGAAGAAAAAACATCCTAAGCATCTAAAGGAAGAAGCTTGAATGAATGACTGACCTACAGGACTCGCAAATGCTTACTGTATATATTCCTATAGTTTTATTAATTTAATTCCAGGACTTTATAAGTTAAATATCTACTGAAGTTTCCATTCAAGACGACTTTAACAGAAGCCAAAACCAAACCCCAACCAAGACACTTACTTTTATTCTGTGATCGTCCGTGTCTGCAACAGTTGCGACCCTAATAAACATGGGGTTCCTTTTATCGACAACTTCCAGCTTCATCTTTTTCTGGAAACCATGTGGAGGTTTCTGCCATTAGAGAAAAATTTCACAGTCAGACTTAGAAGGAAAACAGGAGGACCTGGTGCTGCACAGAATAGAAACAGATGAGCTATTTAGGGAACCAGCTTTTCAAACTCTCAAATTCCCAGAGTGGCTCTGGGTAGCAACTTCCCCAACAGAAAAATAAAATCCCAACACACAGAGGAAAGACAGCTTGAGTGCTGAGCTGAGGAGTGAAAAGAGGGGTTGAAGCACACACACTGTGGTTATTTCCTTAGCTACAGGGGAGGCCAAACAATTTTCTCATTGGTCGGAGCAGTCTTAGCAAAAATCCACAAGCAATAACTTTATTTTTAAAAGAAAATGAAAAACAAGAGTGGCTGAAACAACGCACCAAGATCTGTAAGTACTGAGGGCAAAAAGCAGAAGATAACTTCAGAAAAGAAACTTAGTAAGATGGAGTAGCTCTTACAAGACAGGAGTGGGAAAAAGGGATCCACAACCCCTACAGATCCATGCTCAGAAGAAAACCATAAACCTCTGAAAAACTTACAGGCGGGGGAAGGCAAGGTGATAGCCCCGTAAGGGGTTACACAGATTAGTTATAGTTTCTACCTCCCGGTCCCTCTTCCGGAAAATGAGTGCAATGAAAGCGCTGCTCTAAACATTAAGTGTGAAAACTGTGTAAGCAAAGCTAGGCATGGTGGTGCACGTTTGTAATCCCAGCGCTCGGGAGGCTGAGGCAGGAGGTTGGCTGAGAGTTTGAGTCCAGCCTGGGCTACATAGTGAGTTCAAGGCCAGCCTGAACTGTATAGCAAGACCCTGCCTGAAAAAAAGGAAAGAAAATCAAAATTATGTAAATGATATGGAACAATCAATGCAAGTCATCTAAAAGGTCAGATGAGAGAAATCTTAATTTTCTCTCTGATATAATAGTAGATATGTAAATTGATTCTGATGTAATTTTATATGGCTTAAGGCAAGGTTAAAAAAATAAACTCTGCACTATGTTAGACTCAAAGGTAGATAAAAATTCATAAATATGCGAAGAACTCTAAACATTAGTCTTAAAAGTTCCAAACTATCAGATGAAGTCATACAAATTCTTGGATGGTGTGTGTCTTCATGTAATACGCTTTTACTCTTTACAGTTCTTTTTTTGCGGTGCCAGGGATGAAGCCAGGGGCTCATATGCTAGGCAAGTGTTCTACCATGGGGAGCTACGTCCCCGGCCATTCAAATCGCTCATGTTCTTCTCTCTATATTTGCACTCATAACTGCTAATTAATTCTGTCATTAAAAATCCTAGAAGTTTATACATAAAAGTATCATTTAAAGAACATAAGACTATGCTACTTTTTAAATTTTATTTAATGATATTTTTCCTTCAGATTTGTGATAAAATACAAATGTTAAGCAAGTTATTTGAGATGAAAAAACAACAAAATGCATTTCATTTATTATTCTTCTCTTGCACAGAAATGAGGTTTACCTCGCATCTTAGTAAGTCATGTGCAAGAAGTAATGACCTTGGGGTTCTGAGATACAGTACTATAATAAAAGCAGATAACCTCACTTTAGAAAAAAATGCCGATCTGTAGCAATAAAATACAAAACAGTATCTCAACTTGGCACAAACAAATTCAAAGGAATTACTAATGTAATTTTTTTTTGAGAACATTTTTCCATCCAGTTTGATCTTAAAAATATCTATCTAGAAAAACAAGTTTGCTGTAATTTTTCAACCATTCTCCCCACACAGTCTTACACAGGATTATTTTTGAGGAAGATTTTAAAGTCTAAAAAGAAAAAATTTTTTTTTATATGTCAACAATCCTAGTCAACAGTTTTACTTTAAAAAATTGTAAAATTTAAAAACTTCTCCTTTGGTCTTCGGTTTCCTTCTCTTTCCTTTTTTGGTTTACCAGTATCATCTTTTTTGGTTCTTAAATTTCAGTGAACAGATGACAGCATGAACGCAAATTAATCAGGTAGTACAAGACACGAGAGTGTTAACTCACCACTTTGAACGCTCTTGCAGGAGCAGGTAAAGAATTGGTTTCTTCTAAGTATTTATCCCAAGAAAAATGCTTCACATTTGGATAACCTAAGAAACAAAGAAAAATATGAATCCTATGAGATTTAACCAAAATGATAATAAGAGTAATAAACTGCCCTACAAAAATTATATAAATAATTTACATAGGGAAAATATTAGAAAACACATAAATGCCTTGAATCTAGCTGTTCTATTTCTATTAATTTATGACAATCCCATATGGGTGTAAAAACACAACGCACAGTTGTTTTTGCACATGAAAATACAAAAACAAGTTACATGATCCTTATATGCAAAAAATAAAGTGCATGTGAAATAAAAAGCATTTATTAAAAAGAATACTAATGGTGTGTGTGTGTGTGTATGTGTATCTAAATATATAAACTACTCTAGATATCTCTTCATATTGTTAGGTTGAACAAAGAAATACACCCAAATCATAAGACATTATTAATAGAATGTATAAAAATAACTATCCTTTCCTTTCTCCTGCTGCCTTTTGTTTCCTCCAGTGCACAAAATCCATTAGGTGGGCACAAGCAGGAATTAAAGTGGCCCAGGAGGGTGGAAGTTAGCCACATCAAGGGGACTGAGAAAATATCCAAGTATGCAAGAGATACCAGAAGCTCAGCTTCTCCCTGGTTGAGAAGTACAAGAAAGGGGTATGGAAAGAAGAAAACTAGCAACGAAGCCAAGAGTGCTGGATTTGAATCAGAGCTAATGGCATCGATCCGCAGTTTTCAATATACACAGATGCAGAAACAGGCACACATTTGTGTACACATTTACATTACACATCTCCGTCCACGGAGAGGAAGTTACGTGCCAGGAGCAATAAGCACACCAGCAACCAGACACAGGTTTCCGAGTATCATTCTCTACTGAAAAGAACTTCGGATCCGTGGAGAAACTGCTACTGCAGGGATGAGTCAAGGCATGTTCATCAGTCAGCTGTGCTGGAAAGTAAGAAGTTCTCCAAAAATGGTAAGAACACATCAAAGGACAGAGGCTCTCACTAGCTAAGCTGTCACAAAATATGACAGGAGAATAAATAGTGCCAGGCTGGGGATTTAGCTCAGTGGTTCCAGTGTCTGCCTTGCAAGCTCAAGGTCCTGAGTTCGATCCCCAGTACAAAAAAAAAAAGAGAAGAAAATAAATAGTGCCACTCAAGGATTATAATTCTTTGTTAAAAATAGTAATCTATGGGTCCACACTGGTATAAATAAATGCAATAAATGAGAAAGCTGTTCTTTGCAGAATAATATTACTAATTATGTACAAAGACTAATAATAAATGGTATGATTCACAATAAAAAATTACCACTTATCTAGAAATATCAACATGTGCTAAAACTAGGAGGCAAAGACAGCGCCGTATCATTTCTGTGATTCTCCTGCCCGAAATGTGTAGCCCGGTCCTGACAAGGAGGAAACAGCAAGCTTATTCACAGTAACATTCCACACATGACACTGTGACCCTCCAACAGACTGACGTGGGTAAGAAAGGCAAGGAGAGCCTGAATGAGGGAGGCGAGAAGGGCCGCAGTGGAGCTCGACGTCCGACCTTCTGTTGCAGAGCACAGCGTCGGTTCAACTGACTAGCTGAGTGCACTTCTGGGTCAAGGGTATAGACGGATTCTGTGCCATTCTTGCTACTTTTCTACATTTGAAACTCTTCCAAAGGAAAATGTTTGAAAAGTACCTTTCTTCTTTGTAGGAATCTTTTTGCTTTCTGAGTGACTTCTTCGAAGATAATGACACACAGTGCATTGACTATTGTTACTCTCTTATTATTTTGTTACGAAATTTTGTTTTTTCATAACAAAGTAAATATGCAAGCCTATCTCTGTATTTTACAAAACACTTTACAGCATGTTTTTAAGGAACATATCTTGCACAATTCAAGTAACTTAAGTCAGAATAGTCTATCAAATGAAATTGAGGGGTATGCAGGCATGTGCACTTAAATAGAAGAAGGCTAATGACAAACTAACTACAAAGAGAGATAATTGTGGTTATTTCTGTTTTTCACTCTAAATTTAAAAACAAGCATGTAGGAATGTATAACTTAGACAGTTCAAAATAAAAGTAATTTTAGAGATGAAGAGTTTAATTTTAGAACGAGAACAACAGAGATGGAGCACAATTCACAGGAGCTAATTCCTGGAAGCAGCCTGTGTGTCTATCGCAGATGAATGGATAAGGAAAACATGGTGGTTGCATACCATGGAGCACTGCTATGCCACACAGAAGGATAAACCTGAGTCATTTGTAAGAAAACAGGTGCACTGCAGACCGTAATGGTAAGTGAAATAAGTCAGACACACAAGCTGAGATATGGTCTCTCTTATATGAGAAGCCCAAAGCATAAATAAAGAGCAGATAAAAGCTAGATAAGAGGAGGTAGGGAGAGCTTTTTTCAAATGGGAAAGGGGTCAAGAAATGGAAGAGGGAAAGGAAGCGGACGCGGTATGGATACGTTCTAACTCTCCATGAGGAATGGGGTCCCTGCGTAGTGCAAACATGTGCTAATACAGAACAAAACCTGAAGAAAAGGAAAAGGAGGCTTGTGTACAGAAACTGCCAATGGAAGGCCAACAGGGCTCGTCAAGGGGCGGCCAGACCCATGAGACAACGGGGTGCTGAGGGGAACTGGGTGGCCAGGACGGGCTCTTCAGGGAGGAGGGCAGGGACTCAGCGAGGGGACTGAAGAGTGTGTCTTTTGTCAGGAGGCAGAGAAAGAGCAACATCAGCACATGTCCAGTAAACCATTTTCATAATCTGACGGATTTCTGCTGTTGTTACATTTTTACATTGTGATACCGCATGGAACATAAAAGTCACCATTGTAACCATTCTTAGGTATACCGTTCGGTGGTTTCAAGAACATTCGCACTGTTGGACCTTTGGTATAATTTTTCACATGAAATTGTGATATTTTAAAAACTTGCCCAAAGCTGTTATTTCTCTTTTGCTGAATATAACAGTCACTAAAAGGAGACAGATGACTTGGTTCAGCCTCACATAAGAAGCCAGCAGCAGTGCCATCCCCGATCGCTCCCTGGGCTCGTGGTCAGGGACTGGTATTCCCAGGCTCAGGTTTACCCACCAGATCTCTGACTACGACCCAGAACAGTACTGCAGAAGGGAAGGATTTATATCCAACCAGGAAACCCCAAGAATCCTCAGGGTAGTTTAGATGGTGACAGTGACAGAGGATCAACTACACAATCGCCGGTCGCTAATATTCTATAACCCACAGGACACAGGAGGCCAAGCTTAAGAAATCTTCCAGATAGTGCATTTGGAAATTAATTTGCAGAAAAGTAGTAACTAATTATGTATAAAGAGTAAGGAGAAACACAGTGATTCCTGCTGAAAAATTACCATCTAGCAACAGTGAAAATAATAACTCATATTAGAAATATCAACGGATGTTAAAACTAGTTAATGGTTCTGAAATGAGATACAGCATAGTCACACCATTAGTATCTTGCTTTCTTCAAATCAGCTCTGGAATTCAGGGCAGAGGCTTTCCTTTCCTCCCTTCAACTCAGGAGAAAATTCAGACAGTGGGAGGGGCTAGGCTTGCTGGACCCGAGTGAGAAAAGACCCAAGGGAGATGCTGTATGGAGGAACAGGTGACCAGGCTAGAGATGCAAGCGGCTGTCAAGAGCAGAATGAAACTAACATTCAGCTCCAAGCTGCCCCCCCCCCCACCCCCTTAACCGCTGCAGGCTGCACCCGCAGCTGATCTTAGGAAACCGAAGATCACCCTTCCCCAGGATCCAGGGCGCCTGCTGTGCTCAGGGCAGCATCTGCCGGCCTGTGCAGTGAGGCAGTCTGAGCTGCTGGCCCTGCCTTCTCCTACTGGGAGGAGCCACGACGCCTTCAGCATTCACACACTCAAAGAGGTGTCTTGATTATGACGAAGCTGTGGAATCTGTTCTTTAGCACAAGATGACAAACTCAAAAGGACATAAAACGAGGATGCTATTAATCAACAGTAGCACTGCTCTGTCACTGAGAAAGTGAAGACGATGAGAAGCCTCTAAGGCCAGAGGCACACAGCCACAGGCCCCCAGACCTCAGAGCAGAGCCACCGGCACAAGACAGGTACCATTGGCATATGGCTGCAAAATCTACCTTGGAACCAAGAATCGCAACAGAAGAAAGAAGCCGATGTGTGAGCCCTCGACTAAAACCGTCTGAATTTCATGTTCTCATTTAAATGTGAGCATTGTGCTTTCCACCAGACCTGACCCTCGTAGGGAGGGCACGGTCTGTCCGCCTTGCTGCGTCCCCCAGACCCACATTCCGGGACCTGCCCTGGACTAGGTAATTCACATCTGCAGTTAGGCAACATCTTTAGATATATGCTGATATAAAGTCTTAAAAGGAAATTTCAAGTTGAGAAAGGAAAAATATTTTTAAATTGAGCTTATTTTTCCAAAGAAGACCAAAATTTGAGACTCTGCTATACACTAAGCCAGTGCTCAACATACTTGAAGGTCAGGAAGCACACAGCTGTGGCCAGCTGCATACTTTTGTAAAGAAAGCGTTGAAAAAAAAAAAAAAAAAAAAAAGAAAGCGTTGATGTAGTGCAACCACACAGTTCATGAACTGCCTACCGCTGCCTTTGTACTACGCCCAAGTTGAGCAGTTGTCAGAGAGGTTGTAGAGCATACAAAACCTAAAATATATACTATGTGGCCCTGTACAGAAAGGGCCTACTGGCCCCTGAAGTCCATGAAGAATATCAGATGCATAATAAACACAAACCTGGTGGAGTAATGAGGGTTCTTCTGTGATCTTTACACCAACCGACTGGATGAATGTGTGGGCTAGATGCTTCACACCTGCGGGTTACATAAAGGAAAATGAGGTAGTTATTAGATGAGCTCACAAACACGAGTACAAGTGGTTTTTTAAAACAGCACATTAGAGATCATGAACACCTTACACGGTTGTTTGTTACAATCTACCTAATTTGCCAAAAGTTGCTAAACCAAAGGACCTTTCACTTTTCCAATACACTAAGGCCAAGTAGCATTTCAGTAGATAAATATCTGATGGATTTGACATCATATAATTTTCTTCCCCCTGCAAATATTATTTATATTCTAAACTTCAAATATAGCAGAAGTACAAAGATTATATCATTAAAATCCAGAATTTTCATTCATAACCACCATAGGGAAAAATAGACTGCACACTGGCAAGATAAAATTATTTCACTATCTCTACAGGCACACCCGCAAACCCATGAGGCTCAGTCACTCCCAGAGACCAACAATATGCCACTTCTATTATCCATCACAATGGCAGAGACCAGCTATTAAAATAACGATTTCTTCCTTCTCCCTCCATCTCTCTTCTCCTCTCTATTACCATCACTACAGCTAAATGCAGATGTTTCCTGAACCTTTTGCTAACATTCAAACTTGGTACTTCTGATTCCCTGCTCTAACCATAACTGCTCTGCATGTTTCTCATCCCCACATGTGACAGGTTTCTCCACTCATTTGCTTACTTGTTCATCCAAATACTGAGGTGGGGATGAGGTGCCAGGAACAGAGCCTGAGCAAACTGCAGCGAATAAAGCAAATGCGAAACTCCTGCTTTTGTGGCACTTACACTATAGTCAGAAGAGACAGGAAGTAAACAACAAATAAAATACAGTTGTCCCTCTGTACCTGAAGGGACTGGGTCTGGGACCCCTGCAGATACCAAAATGAGAGGATATTCCAGAGCCTTATACATGGCAGTCACCTTTAGATTACACTTAGAACACCTGGGTATAACATGCCTCGGTGACACAGCACTAAGCAAACGAAGTGAAGGAGCAGACCGTGTAAACTCAAGAGTGCATCTCAGGGAGCCTGGTCAAGTCAGCTTCTTAATGCAATGTTTTGAGGAAAAATTTGAAGGATTTGAAGAAAGAGAGAAGGGAGCCACACAAAGACAGGAATGCAATTAGGGCATAGATGACAGCAAGCACAAGGTCATGGAGCGGGAACCTGGCAGGACTGTATCAGGAACAGGAAGGAAGAGTCTGGTGGAAGCACGGCCGACCATAAATGATGACAGACAGGAAATGATGTCAGACACAGGCTACACTGAGGTTTGGGATCTTATTCAGAGCAAACTAGAACATGACTATGGAGGGTTTTAGGCACAGTAGTAGCTTACTCATACCTGTATTTTCATTATTCTGGCTGCTGTGAGGAAAGTAATCCACACAGGTGGCAAGAGAGGAGGTGGTCAAAAGCTATGGCAAGGGTCAGTCATGGTGGCCTCAATCACAAGGGTGGCAGTGAAGAAAGTAAGAAGTGGTCATGTTTTAGGTATGCATTTGAAAGAGCCAAGAACCAGCACCCATTCATGATAAAAACCCTACAGAAAATTGGAATAGATGGTCTTTATCTCAACCTGATAAAGGCTATCTATGAAAAACCAACTGCCAATATCATACTAAATGGTCAAAAACCGAAAACGTTCACGCTAAAATTAGGAACAAGACAAGGATGTCCACTATCACCGCGCCTGTTCAGTATAGTTCTGGAAACATAAGCCACAGCAACTAGAAAAGAGAAAAATAAAAGGAATAAAGATAGGAAAGGAAGAAGTTAAACTGTCATTATTTGCTGATGATATGATACTCTGCATAGAAGATCAAAAAAACTCTGCCAAAAGACTTTTAGACTTAATTGACAGATTCAGTAGAGTAGCTGGATACAAGGTCAACACTCAAAAATCAATGGCCTTCTTGTAAATAAATAACAGACTCACTGAGAGAGAAATTAGGGAAACAATCCCTTTCACAATAAGATCCCCAAAAATGAAATATCTAGGAATCAATCTAATGGAGGAAGCAAAAGACCCCTACATTGAAAACTACAGCACTCTGAAAAAAGAGATTGAAGAGGATATAAGGAAATGGAAAGGCATCCTGTGTTCCTGGGTAGGAAGAACCAATATAGTGAAAATGGCCATACTTCCAAAACTGCTATATAGATTTAATGCTATCCCAACTGAAATCCCAACAGTATATTTCACAGAACTAGAGAAAACAATCCAAAAATTCATTTGCAACAAGAAGAGACCTAGAATAGCAAAAGCAATTCTAGGCAACAGAGACATGGCAGGGGGTATCACAATCTCCAGCTTGAAACTATACTACAAAGCCACTGTGATAAGAACAGCATAGTATTGGCAAAGTAACAGACCTGAGGATCAGTGGAACAGATTAGAAGATGCAGAAACAACTCCAGACATACTCAGCCACCTCATCTTCAACAAAGGAGCCAACTACCCTCACAGGAGGAAAGATAGCCTCTTTAATAAATGCTGTTGGGAAAACTGGATTTCAACGTGCCAAAGATTAAAACTAGACTCATATCACCATGCACTAAACCAAAATAAAAATGGATTAAAGATCTAAATATTAAAAGAGAAACACTAAACTTGCTGGAAGATAAGTTTTAAGTAGAACTCTTGAAGACGTTGGCATAGGAAAAGACTTTATGAACAAAACCTCAGTAGCACAGGAACTAGCACAAAGAATCAACAACTGGGATCTCATCTTATTAAAAAGTTTCTTCATTTCAAAAGAAACCACTAAAAGAGCTAAGAGACAACCTACAATGTGGGAAAAATTTTTTAGCAGTTGTTCCTCAGACAAAGGACTACTATCTAGAATATATAAAGAACTGAAAAAAATCAGACCCCTCAAATTTAAAAGACCCATTTCAAAAATGGGCATCTGAAATGAACAGAGATTTCTCAGACAATGACGGAAAAGCAGCAAATAAACATATGAAAAAAATGCTCAACATCACTGGTCATTTGAGAGATGCAGATGAAAACACTGAGATTCCACCTCACCCCAGAAAGAATGGCTGCTATCAAGAAATCAACCAATAACAAATGTTGGCAGGGTTGTGGGGAGAGAGGAACCCTTCTCCATTGTTGGTGGGAGTGTAGACTGGTGCAACCACTGTGGAAATCAATATGGAGATACCTCAAAGAACTAGGATTAGGCCCCATTTGACCCAGCTATTCCTCTGCTTGGTATCTTCCCAGAAGAATTAAAAGAATCATAGCACAGAGATATATGCACACCCATATTTATAGCTGCACAGTTTGTAATAGCTAAAGCTTAGAAACAGCCCAATTACCCATCAACTGGAGACTGGATAAAGAAGATGTGTTTTGTTTTGCTTTTATAAAATGAAGTGCTACTCAGCCACAAAGAATGAGAAACTAGAGACATTTATAGCTAAATGGATGCAGATTGAGGGCATACTTTTAAGTGAAAAAAATAGGACTCACATGCGTAAATACCAAACAGTTTCTCTGGTGTGAGAAACTTAAAGTGTAAATAAGGATTGAAATGAGTAATTGATAATGCGAAATAGGAAGAAGAGATCCAAAGGGGTAGGGGAAGCGGGAGGGGTAGGGGAAAGGAAAGAAGGGAAAGGAAAAAATATGAGAAGAGGAAAAATTGGAAACAAAGCCTTTGTAAATAGAGAGGGGTGGAGGAGTTGAAGGGAGGGTAGGGGAATGGGGAAAAAATAAGAACCAAGATGCATCATATAAAGGTACAAGTATACAATGATAAGTGCAAATGTACTGTATACCTAAAATGTACCAATAAAAGAACTTAAAGAGGAAAAAAAAAAAGATAGAGCCAAGAGGATTTGCTGATAGATTTAATATGGGACTTCCACAATTGCTCCAGGAAGCAATTTGGGGTTTTACCAGGCAAATACAATGTGAGGAGATGGAGTCTGTCCTTGCAAGTAGTTATAATAGCATTACCAAACACACAAGCAGGTAAATAAATCACAGTATCTTTTTAAAAAGTGAAGAAGTGATTAGAGGTGTGATCAAAATAAACGGTGAATTTTAAATTTAAAAAATCTATTTCAGTAAAAGATACACTGCCATTAATCCCCAGGAAAATACTCCCTCTTGCTTGAAACACTCATCCCATATTCCTGCCACTCTCTGAAGCAGTTCTGAAAGTCCTCTTTCCTGAGTGTCTTTACAAGGTGTGAGCAAAAATGTCGGGACTACTGCTGCCATGAGCCAGCCGAGAAAGAGGCAGGGTCACTGAAACATCAAGCTGGGTGCTCGTCCACCTTGTTCACGGGGTCAGGCACAGTGGATCCTCTGGCTCCTCCCAAAAGTCAAAATGACCATGACCAATCTAAAGGTTTTGGATCGATCGATCAGGACATCGACACAGCCACAACGGTGCAACTAACAAGACGTGACGAAAAAGACTTCCAGAAGTGCTCCAAAAGTGGCAAGAATAATGGGATAGGTGTCTAAAGTGTGGGGGAAGATTAATGGCAATGTGCCTTTTACTATAATAAATGTTTTAGAATTTGAATGTCCACCATATTTTTTATCAGACCTGTTTGTGTGGTGTGTGTGAGCACATGTGTGTCTCAGGGTCATACAAAACTTATTTCAGAAAAACATAATACACTACTACTTAGAGATTTACAGTACACATACAGCATGAGCACACTAAAGACTGAAATTACACTGTAGAAACTAGTTGTGAATTGTTCGGCGCAGCGTGTTCTAAAGATTAACTGTGAAACACTGCTTTGTTAGAAAAACTATTAACACAGAAACCTAGTGGTCGGAAGGACTCCATTTGGGCAAAGGTGGTTTACGGAAGCCAAGGGGCCCGCCCAGCCTTGGTCCACTGACCAAGTCTATGGTCTCTGTCCTGAGATCAAGGGAGCAACGCAGCCCTGTGGATGGGAGCAGAGCTGGACCAGCAAGAGGACAACAGTGCTTGGAGATTCTAGCGAGCAGAGAGTCTAATGAACACAGAAGA